TAATGAAAGTGTTCCAAAATGCGACTTTAATTTCTTGACGACTTAATATATTTAGTCGATATTAATATAAGCAAGTGTAATAAAGAAAATTCAATTTTATAAAGACAAGTAACGATCGATATATACGTAACGTAGCTAGCTATAGTAATATAGAAAATTTAGAAACAATAAAGTCAAAACTACAAAAACTTTCGCAAATCACTGTAATTATGTTAGTCTGAGCCAAAGTAGAGTTGAAATTGTCCTACTTGTCTTTATAAAATTTTTAAATTTGTTATTATACTTATTTGTTTCCTTTTTTATTTGCTGCGAGCTGAAATGCTCGTCAGTTGATGGGGAATGTTTAAACTTAATTAATACAATGTAAGTTTAACAACAGTCATATATTTCAAAGTAATAACTTGAACACAAACTATATCTCAAAATTTTAAAATTATAACAAAGCTTCTTCATAAACAACATTTGCAGTTTGCTTTCCATCTATCAACAAATAAAGATTTTGAGGTGATCCCACCCTTTAACACCCTACATCTCACTGACCATGAGAAAAGCATGGTTGTTTGAGAAACAATCCAACAACTTTCATACTTTGACGTTGAATCCTTTTAGAGTATTCAACATTGTCTAAAGCATCAACCTGCCAAGATTGTTCGAGATTAGCCCAATACATAACCGATCCTGCTGTAGTAATATAAAAAGTTTTAATGATGCAAAACATATATTGAAACAAGAAAGTCAAAACTACAAAAACTTAATTACTTGAAATTTTTTATCCCTACATAGGCTCATATTAACGTAATTGCAGTGATTTGCCAAAGTAGGGATAATTCTTTTAAATTCTATGTAACTCAGTTTTTGTGATTTTGAATATATTGTTTCAATACATTTTGTAGCATTAAAACCTTCTATATTACTATAGCTAGCTAGATTACGTATATCGATCCCTACCTGTATTTATAAGATTTAGTTATTTTATTATACTTGTATATATACTAGTATCCTTTTTGGTACAAGAAAGGAACCATTGGGACCCCAAACGGAAGATTTCTGTAAAAGAATTAGAGCGTAATGGTTAGTCATTCTTTTTCTGTACGCTTATCTGGAAAAGTCACTTATTCACTTACTTACTTAGATGAAAAGTCGTTGAAATGGTGAATTTTTGATTCACTCCATAAACACGTATATAGCAATTTAGGAGACTTTATAAGTACAATAAGCTGTGGTTTTTGCTCAGCCAATACTGTGAAATAGCCATTTTTCAATATTCAGATATTTTAAATATGGTTTTAAGTGGGCGATTTTTATGACTGCAATTTTGTTTCATCACGATCACTACTATTAAGTACTACCGTACTTAATGATAAATCATAAAGTGATTAATGTTAGTTTTAGTGTTCCATTTCCGTCTTGTAGATAGAATTATATTCAGCGCTGCTTACTTTGCTTTCTTATTGTTTGTATGTTAATTTTTTTCCTAGCTTACGTTATATATATAACTATAAATTGTATGTGGTATACATTCACCCGTTAAAAGTTTATGGTGAGGAAGTTTACTCAGGTCCGGTTCGATGTATGACATTAAACCAAGTAACCCTAAACATAATATTAACGCGAATTAAAAAAAAAAGAAATTCTCCCGTCTTGTTCGAACACTTGTTTGTGTTGAATAATCTCTACCGTTATTGGTTGTTACGCTTAGGAAAGAGTAAAAATAATTATTATTAAAGAAGATGATAAATCGATTCTGAAAACTAGCAGCTGGCACTAAAACACCGTTACAGTCAAATTTATCTGTATTAGTGTTTATCTTTTGTTTTACAAATTAACAAGAACAGTAAACGTTGTTCATGAAACATCCTGCACCTTACTAGATACTGAATTAAGTATTTTGATGATCTGTTTTAATCAATAAGATCTTTATTTTTTATGAAACAAAACATTTAGGAAAATACATCATAGTTGTGTTATTTAAAAATTTGAATAGTTTGGGTCAAACTTCACAGGTTTGCTACGACTAAAGTAGTCCAGTCTTACGTCACTCTGCTGTCCGGATATCAGAAGAACACGCCGCATACGAATCATTGTATAGTTAAGATGTTACACAGGATTGCCTGGGATTGCAGAATGTACGGATTGTTATTTCAGGCTTCGGCGTTCCGGATCTTCCAGAATATTATGCACGATCCTCAGAGACGCGAGGCAGGTTCGGTTAAGGTACAGTTTTAGATTAATTTTATATCTAATTAGACTTAGAAAAGGTTTAAGCTTTAACTAAGAAATATTAACAGGTGCTGTTTGATAGTATAGATCTGGTAGACTTATTTAGTTTTTCACTACATCTTTGTTTCCTTATAGGGAAGTATTTTCTTCCTTTCACTACATCTTTGTTTCCTTATAGGGAAGTATTTTCTTCCTTTCACTACAATTTTCTGTTGGATCACTATTGTCTCCTGTGTCATAAATACAAAGAAATACAACTAATTTGCGTAATAAGATTCAAAATACAAAAAAAAAGGTTAAAAATCGCTCTAAGGAAAAGAGAAACAAGTCAACATTTTGACCTAACGACTTTTATTGGAAATATAGTTTTTTTATCTTCCTCTCATTTGTTCCATTGAATCATCTTTGTCCCTGATGTGCATGTTTTAACGATGTTGTCGCAGATGTTTGAAAATGGTGCCTTTTTCGGATCCAAATTTTCCTTTAAGTTGCATATGTCCAGCAAACAGAAATGCTACAATGGCTATGTATATCATCAATATTAATGGATAGAGCACAATGTGAAATTCGAATTTAAAATTATTCTCTCTTTATATACACAAGAACTAAGCACCCTTTCAAAACTTTACATTGAATTAATTTATCAATTCATAAACACTAGTATTACACTGCTAAATTAGAGACGGCTAGCGCAGATAGCCCTCGTGTAGCTTTGCGTGAAATTCAAAACAAACTAAACCAAGTCATCGCTAATGCTGGAGAGAAAGCTTTAGACACTGTATGGCATAATGGTTTAAGATTTAAATTAAAATAAATGGAACTACTCATTCGCTGGTTGTCCAACTTTCTTGAAAACAGAAATTATAGAGTTAATGTCAAGTGTCCCTCAAGGAGGGTTAGTTAGCCCTATATTGTACATCATGTATGTAAGCGACATGCCCCTGATAGACTCAAATTATAGTTCAGCGTCACAATTTGTAAATAACTACAACCAGTTTTAAATGAAATCGAAGAATATTGTCAAAAGTACAGAATCAAAATTAACATACCAAAAACAAAATTTATGTTATTTCCAAATTCTCTATCATTACGCAAAAACTCCCTGAAGTTATACCTGAATGGAGCTCTTCTAGCCCATCAGCAAAATTTTTAGGCTTTACATATGATTCCAAATTAAATTCGAAACAATACCTATCCGAAATTACATAAAAAGTGTGGCAACGAGCAAACTATCTTAAAAGACTCACAGGTAAAAACACAGGAGCATCATCTGAAAACATTATTAAAATTTACAAACAATACATAAGATCCGTTATAGAATATGCATGGCTCAACATAGCAAAAGCAAATTTGAATAAACTACAACCAATCTGAAATTCCATAATTACCACAGCATACGGGGTTCCAAGAACCATAAATTCAACATTCCTACATAAATATGCAAACATAGACATACTAAAAGACAGACTGATAGATTTCTCGTTACGTTACCTTAATAAAAACGTATACACTGAGTGGTCACAAGTAAATAGACACCTAATTTTTCGTCATTTAACTGATTTATGCT